ATTTATTTTCTTGATAAAAATAAGTGAATTTTTTAAAAATTTAGTTTTATTTTTTAAACCCTAAATGCATGAGGAGAGAATATAAAATAAAAAAGAGAGAACATTTATTTTAAATATTTATTTTTAAAAAAATTTGTTTTTGTAACCACAAGGGGTCTAAGTGAAAATTTAAAACTACCAGGGATTAAATTATAAATTATTTAAGCATAATCGGTCTAAGTGATAAGTTTAAAATCACAAGGGGTGAAATAAATCACAAAATCACAATGGGAAAAAATAAAGTTTTTCCAAAAACATTAATATATTGTTATTTTAATAAAAAAATTATGAAAATGTGAATCAATTTATGGATTTATTATACTCAGTCGCGTCCTTGGCAGGCGCAACAAGTCACACCTCATATAGGCGCAACCTGTGCAAAGTCGTGCCCCACATAGGCACGACTCGTCCGGTGACGACATATGACACAAAAAAGTGAACAATTTGGCTGTAAAATTTCAGAATGCCATAACTTTTGACTTAGTGTCAGAATTAGGTGATTTTTTTTTATTCTACATAACTTTTTGAGATCTACGCAATGACATCTTATTGAAGGAGATTTATTCAAAAAAATTCCAGACACCCGAGTAATAGCCTATGTAATGGAGAAAATGAGATGTGCAGTGGAAAGAAAAAGGCTTTGGTTTCATCTCCATTGTCATCTTTGGAAGGGGCTTAAATATCTTTATCTCTTACCCGCCTTACACTTCAGATTAGTCTCATAGCCAGCTTAAGGAGTCAAAACTTGTGAGAATACCAGGGGAGCCAACTTGCCTCAAATAAATAATTAGGGTTGAGTTAACTATAAAAAAAATTCTTTTTGCTACCAACATGGTTAAAATCAAATTGCTCAATCTGTAAGTTGCTTTGAACATATTGCAAACTTTAATTTGAAGGCCTAACCATGGTGCATCCATAATCGCTGCATCATGGATTTCTCCCTAACATGTATCCTGCGCAAGCAACATAGACTGAAGATTGATTCATGTGTAAGCCACCAAGGAATAAGCTAAAAAATAAATAAAATAGGAAGCAGAATCATGTTAAGCATATGTGCATGCAATATATGTTGATCTTAGAAGTTATCAATCTGGAAGAATTTTCTTTTATTATCTCCTGAACCCCACAGATAAGTGAAGAATTTAATTATGCTTTTCAAATCAGAACAGCAAGTTTGTGATTTGATAATTTTAACAGTTTTAGGTTATGGTCATTTTTGGTGTTCTAAAATCATATAATCCTATTTTGAAATTTTTTACATTTGGTATCATAGCCGGGTTGGGCTTGAGCTAGCTTGGTGATTGGCTAGGAGACGGGTTGAGTACTTGGACCTTAGGGTAATCGATTGAGGGGGAACATATCAATGTTGAGTTTCACACTTGAAGGGAGATTGTTTAGATATTCAAGTGTGATGAGTCTCACATTGATTGGTAATGAGCTAAGTGAGAAGTATATAAGTGGAAGGACCCATTAAACTAATGCTTTAAGATTTTGGATTGAGACGTGGTGTCAGACTTACTTGTAGTTGGTGTAGCTTAGTCCATTGGTGGAGTCCCCACCACGGGCTTCTCTCTGAACCCGCCTAACCGCTTATGATATTGCGATACGACAAGTATATCGATCGTTTCAACTAATAAAGTAGTGATAAAAGTATCGTCCCACGAGGATTAAAGCACCAAGTATTATCCTAATTATTCCCCTTAATTTGGACAATCCAAATTGGTTAGCAAATAGATTTTGAATTAAAAGAAAAATAATTGAAATTAATTGCAATGAAAATCAAGAACATTCAAGAAAGCAGAAAAAAATACGAATAAAGATTGTAATACGGAACTGTAATTAGGATACACTTCACTTTTGATCCTTCTTTAGAAATCTGAATTAATTCTTATAATTAATTAACTCATTAGTTCAAACAATTCATCTTTCTCAAATCAATTAATTAAACCCTAATGTCTTAGTGTATTTAACCCTTTAACCCAATTAGAATCCTAGTGTCCTAGTAACCCCTCTTGAATCAAGCATTAAGTGGATGAATTAAAAAGTCTACAATTCATACAAGCCTATATCTAGATCATGCACGAATTGTTATTTTACCCCAGTCTAAGTTAAAACCCCAATATGCCTATTGTGAGCTCTAACCCTCAAAGCCCTATAATAGAGTAATCAGTTCTAGTAAAGATATGGAAAAATTCATTCAAGGTAAAATGAAACTAATTGAATTAAAACAATTATAAAAATAATTCAGAAATCACAAAGGGTTCACATTGGATCCATGACCCTGACTACAAAAGAAAATTCGTCAAATATAATTGGCTTAAACAAAACAAAGAAATAAAAAGAAGAAGAAATTATAAAAAGAAAAAGAAGAATCAATGTTGCTCAGTCTCCTTCAAGATCCTCTATCTCTGAAATCTCCAACTCTGGTATCTGGTATTCTCCTCTTTCTTCTCAATCCGCTTGCTCTATCGAATTGTTCCTTTGTTTTTCCAAGAGTTGCATTTTTATAGGGATGAAATCATATCTTTTAATTTCTCATAATATCTTCAATGGAATCTTCACTAGAATCTTCAATCATATCTTTAATCTAATCCTTCAAATTTTCTCTTTTATATTTAAAGGAAAACTTTCCTTGAAAATATTCGAAGGAAGATTTGATAAGATCTTCAATGATTCAGAAATCCAAAGCAACTCTACTTGATCTCTCCCATTTATCTCTTTATTGAACTGAAATTTACTGCAAAATATAAGAAATCTTATGAGAATATTATTAAAAATAAAATAACAATTTAATTATAATTCTCATAACTTTTAATTACTTTTAAATCAATTTCATGCTCATATTGATCCTTAATATATAGTAAATTGGGGACTCATCAAACAATTCCCAAATTTAGACATTGCTGTCCTCAGCAATAAACTAGAATAAACAATATGAAGCAGGAAAGTAACCTTGTGAGAAGAGACACATAAAATTCAAGCATAACATTGCATCAAAACAAACAATTTATAGCAGAAGCTCATGAGAGTACTATGCTAAGCATGAATGATTTTCAGTGTTAAGAATTTCAAACAAGACTTTTCAGTTTCAAAAAGGAAATTAGAATCTAACTTGAATACCCCTCACTAAGATAAACAATACACTCATCACTCAAGTGTTTGGGGTATAATCACTCAATCCATCAGTGTAATAGTACTACCATAGCCAATGGCGGACCCAGAAAATTTTATTTATGTCTGTACATTTAGTAGCGGGGCTGCCCCTGAATTTTTTTCTAAAAATTTTAAATTCATTAAAAAAAAGAATATAAACAAGAAAAGAAAAAAAAAACTTTAACTTAACATAAAAAAATAATAATCAAGAGTCAAATAAACTATCATAATTTCATGCAATGATTATTTGTTAAGATTTTTATTTTTATAGCGATGCAAAATAATCTTGCCCTATTTTTTATTATTATTTAATATAAAATATAATTATATATCACAAGTGAGGGTAAAATTTTTTTACATTATGAGCTTTACAACATTTTATAGAAACTCCGATAAGTTTCATCTTTCAATATTTTTGGTTGTAAAGCCAACTGCATACTTTTTTTTTGTATATCAACAGAAAAATAAAACAGACACAAAAAACTACATCACTCTGACCAATCTAGGCCAAGCCACACCCCTCTGGTCCTTACCCAGTAATTAATGACATGTGGAAGTGAATAGACAACTTAAAAGGTGCATGACTAGACATTTCCAACAACACATTAGCCAAGAACCAAACATGCACTCCTTACTTTTCTATCGGTTCTTAACACTAATTTTAACCTTGGCATCTTTTACATTATGAGCTGTTCAAATCACCTCTCGATTCTTGGCAAAAAGAATTTCCTCCCAAAAATTTATGTGTGCAAGTGCCCACACTTGCAACAGTGTGGGTCCACCGATGACCATAGCATTGATCTTATTCTTAAGTTCCTAAAGATGAGAAACATAGATAACATGCAAAATTTGATTCAAAGGTCTTTTTAGGGTTGTAATGTGGCCTAGTTTAGGGGTAGAAATATTTGGAAGGTAGCTGATTTTATTGTGTGAGATTGAAAATCATTTAATTTAATTCAAGGCTCAGTCAATTCTCAAACCATGATTTCACTATGTCTCTTCCTTTCAATTCATGTTTTTTATTCCTTTTTCACTACCTTTTTCTTTCTTCTTGCTAATAATTTGTAGCATAAATTTTCTTTCACAATTTCTTTCTTTTTCTTTGCACATCCTCTTCTCAAACAAATTTATTTTTCCTTTGAGGTACTATTTTTCTTTTTATCACTTAACTTTCAATGAAAAACTTCACCTTAAATTTTCTTTAATCAGATTTCAATCTCATTCAATGGTGAGTCAACAGGAATATAAACTAAGTAATTTATGGAAAATTGAACAAAAATCAGTCTAAGACTAAAATGGGCTAGTAATGAAAAAAAAATTCTTTTCAAGTGGGCTATTTGGCCAAGTGGTTAACAAGAACAAAAATGCCTTTATTATTTCAACTCATGTATGCATCACAGAGAAACAGATCAAGTTCTAGAGTACCACTACAGTGAGGTCTATAAAAAAAATTATTGTATAAGCTCAAATCTCACAGGATGTGGCGTCAAGCTAAAATTTAATCTTAATTTCCACATCAAAGCTTTGTCTAAAACTTCTCAAAAAGAAAATCACACAAACAAGCAATCATATTCTCTAGATAATATTTAATGCAATGTCATGGCAGAAAAAATTATTTTAAATTCTCACAGTTTAACTTGTGCCTCCTAGAGTTTATTCAGATTTATTAACCAATTCAGTTCATGCTATCTTGGACAAACATTTAGAGACACCAATACAGTGAAATAAGAACAGAAAAAAAAAATGAGATATCTTCCCTGAATTTGAAAATTCCTGCTGAGCATATCTATTCTTCTATGTATATTCCTCAGTCCAAGCATAATATACACCCAATTCCCATATTTAAAACATTGTTGTCCCCAACAATAATACTAAACCAAAAATTTCTGCAAACTAAGAACACACACCTAGATCAAAACAAGATATTGATAACAGGAGAATTTATCAAAATAAGAGTATATATCTGCATACAGTACTAAAAGAAAGAAAATAAAATCTAGAAAATGAAAAACAGATGGTGATAAGCGAAAATGTGTGGTGCTCAGTGAGAAGTTTGCCCATCTGTGGTGGTGTCATCTGCTGCTGCCTGATCGGTGACTACTCTTGCATGTGGTATCAATGGTGGTCTTGGCTGCCATCCAGTAATGTCAATGCTCAGCCTTTCACATATGGCTTCAAACATCTTAGTATGATACTCAATCATCACGGCATTGTGTCGTGCCAGTTGCTGTAGCTCAAGGATAACCGGTGAAAATGGAAGAGATGATGGGGCTGTGAAGTGGAAGGAATATCAGCTGCTTGTGGAGGTGGATGCAAGGATCCCTGCATAGGTGCTTGCTTCTTGTTGTCTTCTATGTACTGTAACATGTCATTCCAACCAAGCTCAATTTCCAACGAAACATCAAGAACATTCCAGTGGTAAGAATTCCACGTCATGATCTCGACACCTGCTCGTTCGCAAAGCTGCATAATAAGTGAACTGTGTCCTAATCTCACTTCTGGCCGTTTATTAAGGATCATGTGTAGAATATTGACATTGCTTTCATTAAGAATTTCACAAATCAATGCAGCACGCTCAAGGTTCACATCACTAGCATTTGTTGAGGGAAAGATATTGCTATTAATAAAAGTATACCAAAAACGTGCATCTGCTGTGAGGTCAGCCCGAGCTAACTTCTCAGGAACATGTTTGCGTATATTCTTGACCCAACATGATTTCCCTAAAGCAATCCTTTTTCTGATTTTCTCAGCTGATCCTATAATGTCTGGGCTGTATTGAGTCTTTGAATTGTTGATGGGAGAGAATACCTTTAGAAGCTTTTGGAATGCACATTCCTCCAATGGATTGTAACTAGTGCTCAAGAAGCTTTCAATAGTATTAGTATCAAAACGGACTTGTATTCCTCTCACCCATGAAGTTCTACTCTGATCTATCCATTCCTGGTTGGGATTAGCACAAAACTCCTTTAAAATGGTGCTTGGGCTAAGAACTGGAAAAGTGACAAACTTCTCCCACTTTCTTCTTTTAATCACTTCAAGTATGGAAGATTGCTCTGGCTGTTCCAGGTTAATCCTTCTCTCCTCAATAACCAACTTGGGTTTGAACCAAGTTTCATATCTTTCTTGACACTCGGGAGATAAAAACCTGTCCTTATCAAAAGGTGGTTGTGCATTTATAGGAATGGATTCCCTAGTGTCCTTGCTCTTGCTCTTTGAGGCCTTTTTGGTAGTTGGGGTTTCTTTTGAAGCTGCTTCTCTGGTTCTCTTTTTCGTGGAGTTATTACTGGTGGTTTGAGGCACTCTATCTACAGCTACCTTTGGCCTCTTTTGCCTTGTACTTGTACCCTTTTTCTTTGGAGTATTTTTTTCCTGAAAACCAGAGAAGTCCCAATGGCATATAAAATTCAGCATATAAGTATTACCATTCATTATAACCATAATTGATCATAACTGTACCAGTTGTCAAACATCAAAGATATACCAACCAATTCCCAAATTTTATTGTCAATAAATCACAACCTTAAATGAGCAACCAGCCAGTGTATAATGTAACCATGTATGAATCAGATGATCATTATAATTATCCAACTACATTCTTAGTTACCACAATTCCCAGATTTGTTGTAAACTAAAAATCACATCAGCCCAATCAATCTCGGTGAACATCTCATTCACATCATATGATTATGTCAAGCATTCAACCATTGATATCAATCAACAATTATATCAGGTCACCATTATTCTCAGATTTAATTTCTCATTTATCTCCAAACCACCCAACAGGTGATCTCCAATGGTACACATATGAAAATGTCAAGAACATACTGAGGTTATGCTTAGAGTTCATACAAGTGCATAGCAATTCAATTGATCCCAAATCATATCCAATTATATGGTATAGGCTATGAGACTCTTTTCTACTTAATTCAATTGATCCCAAAAATTTAGCAGAATGCCAAATAAATGGTCGAACAAGAAGATCAAGCAAACAAACAGGGCTGCATACCATACACAGAAATTAACCATAGGTAAGTGCAATAATTAAGATATCACCATTAAAATTGTCCCCACAATCCTATCAGGTACCCTGTTCAAAATCAAATATCAGAAATTGTATCAATGGATAATCAATAAACGGGTACATACCATAAGACCCGATCATGGGCATATGCATCATGAAATCAACAGAAGTTGGTATCAAACCTCAATTTTGGATAAATTATCCTAATTTCCTTAACCTTAAACCCACAATGCAATCCTAATTTAAAAATAATTAATGCTCAAAATGAATCTGTAAGAATCCCTATAATAGAAAGTCACAACCAAAAGCTAATCAACATTAGAATTCACCTTATCGTTACCCATGTGCAGAATACCAAAAAAAAATTAAGAACGACACCCAAACAAGCGCACAGTGGACTGCATGGTTGTGAACTGTGGGTGGCTTGGTTTGAAGAAGTTGGAAGAGAGAAAGATGGGTAGCTCGACGGTGATGGGGTATGATGGAGATCTGGTCCGAAAGGGCGTGGGTGGCTTGGTTTGAAGATGGGTTGTTGGATGGCTGGTTTATGTAAGGAGATGGTGACCGGTGGCTGTTGGTTGTGGAGGAGCGGCGGTGAAGATGGCGGAGGAGAGTGGATATGGCTTGACTTGGTGAGGATGAGTGGTGCTTTGAAGTGGCCTTTCTTACGCCAAATTGGCGTGTGAAAATAGTGTCTTACTCAGGCACACACACACAGAAATCACTTGCAGGTGGTGTAACATACGCCGAATTGGCGTGCGAGCCGCGGTCGAAAAATATTGATAGCTTAGTTTTTTTCTCTCTTTTTCACTTTTATTTTTAATTATTTATTTAGTTTTAAAATAATTATATTAATTTTTTAAAAAAAAAATATAAAAACATCTTATTAATTCTCTATTTTTCAACGATTATCGTATTTTTTAACTTTCAATAATACGCAACTTTTGAAATTAAAGCAAGCATTTTGGTCTGACAACCACATCTGTATAGATTGTAACACGTTATATTTGTTTTTTATACTTCAAAATAAGGTTTCCGAAGTCATTCTTCAAGTCTCTCACCCTTTACCCCCAAGTTAAGATAATTAGAACAAAGAGCTCAGCGCAAGGTTGTCGAAGACTTTCAGCGTGTTTGGTATAGGTGAATTTTTTACCATAAAAATATAATTACTAGGAATATACAGAAAAATTGAGTTAGATAAAAAAATTAAATAAAAATTGTTTGGTTAAGTAAAATATTACTAGATAAATAAAGTGAAATATCTCGAATACATATTTGATTGAAGATAAAATATTGATGAGAAATTAAATTGAAATTACAAAATAACTCTTTACAATATTTTAAAGAAAGTAACTGTTGCATAATAAAAACTCATTTAATGCAATAACCATCGAAAAGGTTTTTGACTAACATATATCATTACAGGTTTAAAGATTGTGTTAATAAGCTAGCTTGGTTCAAGTTTCTTTGGTAGGTGATCAGGATTTCATGCTTGCCAAATATTATCCTACAGCATCTTAATCCAACCATCGTTCATTTTCATGAATGATCTTCTGAGAGCATAGCAAAAGAAACACAGATGGCAGAGAAGAATGGAAGAAAGGACAAAAAGGTAGAAAGGGAGAGAATTCTTGACAAACTATCCCTTGAAGCAAGCAGTAGCTCTGCCCTTTCATTTTCTGATTTGGTTTAGGGACTACAAAAGTATGATGTGGCCCGAAGTTTTTCCTCTCTTCTTCAATTGGTAATTTCTTTATTAGCGGTGTCGAACCAGTTAACTTAGATTCAACAGGGTTATAAGAGGGTACTTTTGGCAACTATCATGTCAAACAAATTTCATTTAGCTAGTTATCCTGGAATACCACCTTGGAAGTGGGTTTTGAGCACCATCCATTTGGTTCAATTTTGCATGCAATTTTCAATGGTTAGGCAAATTAGTTAGCTAGGAATTTTTTTTGAAATCCTATACCAAACATGGACAACACACAATCTCAATCTTGGATGCCTAGCTATATTTTAATAAATCTCCTACCAAACACAACCTCATAATGAGTTTGGTTCAGGATTTCTAAGAAGTTAGTCATGCATCTCAATGTGTCATTTTTGGACTTCTTTGTTTGGTTAAAGTTTTTAAGAAATTTAGCTATGTATCCATTTTGCCTAGCCATCTACATTTGTGTGACAAATTGGGGAAAAAATACTGTTAAAAATACCTCTTCTAAGGTGGTATTTTCAAGTTGCCTAGACTAATGGAAGAAAGAGGACACATGTGGATGCCAAAAATATCCTTTTCTATTAGACAATAGTGTTTGCTACAAGGGTTTGAAGTTATTTTCCCATTAATTTTTTACTTCTAACCAAACATAAACTCATTAAATTTAACCCAATTTTTCTGGTAAAATTTTAACCAATCAAACAACTTTTTTTAAATTTCTCTATCAAACTCATTTTCCCACCAAATTTTTAATAATTATATTTTTCTGATAAAAAAAATTTATATCTTCTACTAAACACCGGTGAAGCTGTCTTTTTATAAAATACTTATCTAAATATTTTTTGGGGAAGGCTCCGTTTACAAACTTTTTTTGAAATTTTTTACAAATTATAATATGTTCTCCCGAGAGAATATAGTGTAATGAGTGTTCTTCCAGGAGAACATAGTGTAGTTTATAAGAATTTATAAACACAAAAATTTGTAAATATTATATAACCTGCCTATATTTTTTTTCTTTTAATGGAAGACAACTGTTCACCTACTTTTCCTTGTTAAGATAGAAAAGCTAAGTATCTCAGACGCTATAAAAAGTTAAAAACATATAATATAGAAACTGAGAAACTAATGATCTTGAATGCACCCAAACCAAATAAATAAATGAAAAATCCAACCTCTAAGAATATTAAACAGCAAAATGGCAAGGGCAACACGTGTACAGGTGGGGAAGGACACCTGGCTTGTAGTTACTCAAAGAAAGTTGAATTTATAAAATATAAACAATAAGAAAAAAGTGTTTGTTATTTTAAACGAGAGATGGACACAAAATAGTATTTTTTATTTAAAATTTAAATTAAAAAAAACTATTAACTTTTTTTTCCATGATTTTTATTTTTTATGTCTAACTTTCTCCTAAAATAACATAACTTATATCATTTAAAATGACAAACATCAAATTTAAATAATAATTGAATAACAAAAGGAAGTTGTTGTGGAAATGTTTTAGGTTCTCTAGAGTCTTAAGAGTGACCTTTTATGGAATAAAGTTTCGCATTCATTTTTTTTTGGAGCGTTTGGTACAAGGTATTTTTCAGTATTTTCAAAAAATTAATTTTTTTTAAATTTAAATTTTCAGATATTATCGTAAATTGAATATTTTCATCATATTTTTAAAAAAATCGAGATTTTCAAATAATTTTTTTTTTTTACCAAAATCCCCCCTGATGCGTAAGAAGAAGCTTTACCTTCCCTTTCATGAAGCTATTTGATTACACTACCCTAACCAAATAAAAAATAGGCAGGGAAATGGTTGACTTTGAGATTTTTTGGCTTCATAAATGAGTTCAAATGTCAACGAATATGTGGCCTTAAAATTAGTCTTTGAGGGCTCTCGAAAGTTCGAGATAAAACCGTGCTGCAAATATATATATATATATATATATATATATATATATATATATATATTCTATATTTAATTGAAATAGTAACATGAATATATGATTAGTAAAAATTCATTGAAAAGAGAGTTACTGTCCGAAGATGAGAGAAAGCTCGAGTTCTTGTGTGGGCTAATAATAAACAATTAAAAAAGGTTTTAATAGTCTCCTTTCATATAATATAATTATCTTATATTGTAGAGTGAAAATAAATGGATCTCATCATTACAAAAAAAAAAAAAAAGATGAGTTACGAAAATCAAAATGAGATAACATAAAATAAGTTATCTTATTTTCCATTAGGACTGCATGTGGTGGAGTCATAAGGGATGCTGCTGGGAACTGGTTAACTGGTTTTACAAAATTCCTTGAGAGTGGTACTTCTACTTCAGTGGAAATTTGGGGGTTCTTGACAGGTATGGATCTGGCTTGGCATAAGGGATTTAGGAGAGTCTTTGTGGAGGGTGACTCCAAGGAGGCTTTGGAATTTATAAGAAAAGAGTGTGACGTAAGTCATCCTCTTTCTGCTTTAATCATCCGAGCTCGTAGCATGCTTCAAAGAGACTGGATTATTCAGCTTAGTCATACTTATAGAGAAGGCAATTTTGTTGCTGATTGGCTTGCTACTCATGCACCTCATCAGGATGGACAACTGATTGTGCTGGATGTCCCTCCAACGGCTTGTTTGGAGTTGCTTCGTAATGACTTGAGGGGACTTAGTCTCCCAAGATTGTGCCCAGTATAGGACTTTTTTTGATGTTGTTTTAGTTTTCATTGTATTTCCAAAAAAAAAAAAAAAAGTAACATTTTCCATTAAAAAAGTTAGGCTAAATTACATAAAACCTCCTTCAACTTATATGCCTTTTGAAAAAAGCACCTCATACTTTTAATTCAAACAATTAACCCCCTTCAACTCTAAACTTACAACAATCAAGCATATTTTACAATTTTAATACGAAAATAACCCTGTCTTCGCCACTGTATCACCTGCCATACCGGCAACCACCCGCCCACTGGCGGACCTAGGTTAGTTTTATTGTGTGCACTTGCAGTTGCAGACGTAAAGTTGAGGAGAAATTTTTTTTTATTTTAAATAGGGTGTGTGATTCAAGTCAAGTAAAAAAAAAAAAAAATAGGAAGATTAAAAGGAAAAAGGTAAAGAGTGGACCGGAGGAGAATCACACGGGATTTTTCATGTTTTTTTAGGAAGCAAAACTGGACAACTTTGGATCAAATAGACATCGACAAAGATGAGTTTTTGATCGATTAACCCCTACAATTATACTGTATTTTACAAATGTCTTTTTGTGGTGTTTATTTATTTTTTAATTATCATTATCGATTATTTCCTTGAAACTTTGGTTGATTCACCAAAGCTTTACTTTTGAAGTAGAAGAAAAAATTGGATCATGATTATGATCTTTAAAAAAAATAGGGGCGCCCTGAGTGTGCTGGGTCCGCCACTACACCCGCCTGCTGTCAGCTAGGCTTGCAATGTCCATTGACCACCATCTTTCGTCGCTGCCCACACGACAACACAAGGCAGGAGTGATCACTTCATTGGTTTTTCAATTGTTGTCTTATTTTTGGGGACAAATCCAAGGTTTTCTAATGGAGAAGAGTAAATTTTGCTGCTATAAAAAATGCAATCAAGGCTTTAAAATCACTCTCATTGGGCCAGATTCTGTTGATGGGATCCCACCGGTGTTTGCCATTTACATAGATGTAGGCGTCATGTCGAAGCACAAAAAAAACTAGGTTCATCACTTGATATCCAATTTCAAAAATATAAATGAATTGGGTGACATTTTCTTTTTCTTTTTCTTTTTCTTGTGGATTTAAATATGTGAAGTTTTGGAATTGTTATATAATATACAAGTTCCTTTCAAGTGTTAGAATTGCATTTTTCTATCTGGGCACTATTTGAGTATTTTGTAGAATTCAATCGATTCTCTTGCGGAGAAGAGAATAATAATTTCGTATGCTCTTGAAAATTCAAGGAGGAACAAGACACCATAGCCATGACGACCAACGGATAAGGCGGTGACCGGACTCACCGAAGGGCAGTGGCAGCAGGGCTTGCGGGCAACGACAAGGTCAATA